CACCCACCCTCCGCGCATAGCTCCCCGCCCCGCCCCCGAATTAGGAGGGGCCGCGCCTTCCGCTGTGGATGGAGTTTATCCTTAGGGTTTCAGTTGAGCCAACTTTTATTGACCATTTACTATGTATCAGAGTTCCTGCCCTGAAGAAGTTAAGTCTGGTAGAAAGGATCAGTCCCATAAGCCAATCATTCAATCATGTCAGTACACAGTGGTAGGTGCAGTAAAACCCAGGAGGGGGTTTTGAAAAGAGTATTGGAAATGGAGAAGGATTTTCCAGTAGAGATAACAGCTTGAACATACAAACTGCATGTTCGTGAGAAGGCAATAGTAGTAATAATAATAATAACGTAACACTTTTGGTCACTTTCATATCCTAGGCACTGTTCTCATTGCATTGCATGATTAATCACACAACCCTATGAGACAGGTACTCTTATTTCCACTTTACAATAAGGAAAGTGAGGCATAGGTAGATTAAGCAATTTGCCAAAATTCACATGGCTAATAAGTGATGGAGATTATTGGGAGGTGGAGATGTTGCAGGGAAAATAAATATCAACAATCTATGACAAGGTCAGACTTGAGAGGGGCAAAAGGCTCTTGAAATAATCCAGACAAGAAACGATAGGGCTTAATTTAAGGCTTAATCATTACTGATGATTATGACGAAGGGATGCAAAGGTAGGAAATAAAATTAGGACACAGTGACAGATTGGGGGGGACGATGAGGTATTAAGATTCAGATGTCTGGCGTATCTGCCTGAGTAGATGCTAGCCGGTTGGCATTGGTGGTACGTTCACCCCAATTATATACACAAGGCGAGTTATTCAAGGGAAGAAGATGCTGTGCTCATTTCTGGACATTTTGAATTTGAGGTGTCTCTGGTACAAACAGGTAGAGATACCCAACGGGGTATCCTTCAACGGACTGGAGGGCATAAATCAGAAGGGGCGAGATCAGAATTGGAGATATAAATCTGGGAGTTATGTGCATATGGGTGATAGCCGCTATTTAATGCTACTGTGGGTAAGGCACTGTTCTAAACGCTCTGCATGTGTTAGCTCACTGAGTCTTCGCAACCACCATATTGAGTAGGTACGATATTATCTTCATTTTGCAGAGCAGGCAACGGAGGCAAAGCGAGGTTAACGAACTTTAAGAGATATGAACACTTTTGAGGCGCCTCTTTTTTTCCTTTTGGCGGGGGACGGGGGACGGGGGTGGGTGGGTGGTGTCCAGCAGCCTCAGAAAAAGGGAGAAAGTTCAAAAAGTAGAACGTCAACATTGAAATGACCTCTTTCATCCAAAAAGGTGCCAACGTATGCAAGGACTGCTTGTCAAGATCTTAGTTCTGCTTTCAGATTCACCTAGTGGAAGGAAATCTCTTATGCTTAAAAAGTCTTCAATTAAAAGGGGGGATGGGCGTGGGGGGAGAGGACAACCGCTTTCCCTTCTACAAATTATTCCCAGAGGTACCTGACCCCGGAAAGAGTTCACAGTGGTCCTGGGAGAACGTAGTCCTTTTCTTAGATCTCTAGGGCTTTGGGACCTGGAGCCTCTTCCTGCTCCCTACTGCAATGGAGAATCAAGCCCAGGGGACAGCTAGCACACTATTAGAAGAAATATCAGTGCAAGATAGATACGCGATGTGGCAAGTTATGATAGAATCTAGGTAGTGGGTATAGAGGAATTTGATGCAAATTTCTTTTAACTTTACTGAATATTTGATAATACTAAAGAAGTTGGGTAGAAGAATTCTTATCGTCGATGGCTCTTTGGTGCGCATTCTGTGCCTCTGTGGGTCTTGATGAAGATTATGTCTTGTTACGCGCCCTCTCGGGAGAGCGTTGACTATTTTCACTCTTAACATTTGCATCCTACAAGCCAGGTAGGCATAACTTTGAGACAAATTCTAGACTTACATGAGTTATGACTATTAACTGAGATCGACAGCAAGAACAAGCCTAAGAAAATCTTTCCCAATTCTTAGCTGCGTCCTACTATTCCCTCTCGCTCCCAACTCTCAAGGTCTCCCAGTCCCGCTTCCTCCATTTCCGGTAGTGACCCTAAGTGATGAGATTCTATTGCTCTCAGATCGGGCCGCAGCTGTTTGGCTCCCAACGGACCCGGTGTGACGTTAAGGGAGGGGGCGGTTGCCGGCGTCTTGAGGGGAACCTAGAGACCGACAGGACTCTCCAGGAAGGCAGCCGCTCCCCCGCCCGCAGCAGACGCTCCCCTTGCCCTTTATGATGTTTACATGGGCGGAGGGATCCCTCCCAGCTGACAGCCACACCGCGCCGGCCCTTCTTTTTTTAAAGAGCCTAGCCACGGGCGCTGATTGGCCGGCGGCCGGGCGCGTCAGCCTCCGGGGGCGGGGCCCGGGCCGCATTGTCTCGTCTGGGGCCGGCTGGACACCCCAGAGGCCGGACCTGGGCAACCCCAGCCTGGAGGTGCCGGGGCCGGAGCTCCCAGAGGGCTGGGTGCGATGTCTGGGCGGGGTCAGGTTCGGGTTCCCAGGCCATAGCGGAGCTGCAGCCCAGGCGACCTGAGCGGAACCCAGCCCCGCTCCGAGTGCCACGTCTCCAGGAACCCCCTCCTTACTCTTGGACAACACTCCGCCCCCGCCCGGGCCTCCGTCCCCCAAACCGCCCTCATTTGTGCAGCGCCAGATCCTTTGGACACATCCATAGGTGTCTCCATCCTCATCCGGTCCATCCAGCTCCCAGACCTCACGTCTCCAACCGGCTGCACCCCACTCTCCAGCCTGCGCCCCAAATCTGCAGCCTTCACCCCTAGATCCACCCGCCTGGTGATGAGGCGCTCCCCGCGTTCCTTCCGGTAGCTGCGTTGTGAAGACCACGCTGCCGGGTTGCAAACTTGGGGGGACTTCCACCCTCCCCTCCCCTTGGGCGCCGTGCAACTACCCTGGGACCGGGTTCGGGGATGAGGGGGGCAGGCCGAGCTCCCCAGCGGCCGGCGCAGCACGTAGCGCACGTGTAGGGCCCGCTCCCCACCCCCTCGGTGCCTCTGACAACTTTCCAGAGCTCCCGGTGTCGTCCGTGAGCCTCCCTTCCGCACTGGCCTCCGGTCTCTGCTTCGCGCGTGCTTCTTTTTTTTTTTTTTTTTTTTTTTTTTTTTTTTTTGAGATGGAGTCTCGCTCTGCCACCCAGGCTGGAGTGCAGTGGCCGGATCTCAGCTCACTGCAAGCTCCGCCTCCCGGGTTCACGCCATTCTCCTGCCTCAGCCTCCCGAGTAGCTGGGACTACAGGCGCCCGCCACCTCGCCCGGCTAGTTTTTTGTATTTTTTAGTAGAGACGGGGTTTCACCGTGCCAGCCAGGATGGTCTCGATCTCCTGACCTCGTGATCCGCCCGTCTCGGCCTCCCAAAGTGCTGGGATTACA